CAGCAGGGCAGGTAGTGGCCGTGCTGCCGTGCTGACCGAGTGCCCGTGGCAGTTCTGGTCCGTGTACGTGCCCTGCGAGACGCAGGACAGGGACGCGGTGAGGCGCACSCTGGAGCAGATGGACGTGGTGCAGCGCATGTGTGACCTGTACCCCGAAACCTTCGCCTGTGTCACCGACAGCGCCGGTGAGCGGCCGTGGGGACGGGTGCCACGGGGGTGCTGATGGGCTGTGCCCACCCCAGCTGACCCCTCCCTCCCGCAGGTGTCCGGCAGGCGTTCCAGAGCGGGAAGGTGGCCAGCCTCATCGGGGTGGAGGGCGGCCACTCCATCGACAGCAGCCTGGGCGTCCTGCGCACCCTGTACCGCCTGGGAGCCCGCTACATGACCCTCACCCACAGCTGCAACACCCCCTGGTAGCACCCCGGGGACAGATGGAGGGTGCAGGGCTGGCACGGGGGGTGCGGTCAGAGGTGGGGACACTCTGATGCTCTCCCTTCTCTGCAGGGCTGACAACTGGCTGGTGGACACCGAGGATGAAAAACCTGTGCACCACGGCCTCTCAGCATTTGGGAAGGTGAGGAACAGCATTGGCAGCGGTGTCCAGGAGCGGTGGCATTGGAGGAATGTGGCACTGGCACCCACTGGCTCCATGCTGGGTGATTTGGGGCAGTGTTCCGTCTGTCCATCCATCATCTATCCCTGATCCATCCATCCATCCATCCACCCATCCATCCACCCATCCATCCCTGTCCATCCATCCATCCATCCATCCATCCATCCATCCATCCATCCATCCATCCATCCATCCATCCATCCATCCATCCATCCATCCCCCTGTCTGTCCCACCCATCAGCTCAGACATCCCCAGGAGCCCTCCAAGGACCCTCCTGGCCACCCCTCAGCCCCCCAAACCCCGCTGTCCCCTGCCCCTGCAGACGGTGGTGTGGGAGATGAACCGCCTGGGCATGATYGTGGACCTGGCCCACGTCTCGGTGGACACCATGAAGATGGTGCTGAACATCTCCAAAGCCCCTGTCATCTTCAGCCACTCGTCTGCCTACAGCATCTGCCCGCACCGCCGCAACGTGCCCGACGATGTGCTGCGGCTGGTGGTGAGTGCGGGGCACGGCCCGTGGGGGTTCGGGGGGGTCTGGGGGGTTCTGGGGGTTTCTGGGGGGTGCTGGGGGTGCTGCGGGCTCAGGGCTGTCCCCTCCCAAGGCCTCCACGGAAAGCCTGGTGATGGTCAACTTCTACAACGCCTATGTGACCTGCGGGGACACGGCCACGCTGAGCGATGTCGCGGGTGAGGAGGGGCCCGGGTGGGTTGGGGGTGGCACAGAACCCCCCCTGCCCTGCTCACCCCACACCCCCACACCCACAGACCACATGGACCACGTGAAGAAGGTGGCCGGTGCCCAGGCTGTTGGCTTCGGCGGGGACTACGATGGGGTCTCAGGGTAAAGAGAAGGGATGGGGCAGCGTGTCCCCACCACGGGGACTTCCTGAAGGGTGGGGGGTCTCCCCTGTGCCCTGTGCGGGCAGCTGGGAGGTGCTGGGGTGGCCCAGTGTGAGCTGTGGGGTGGCACAGGCTCCCCACTGGMCTGGAGGACGTCTCCAAGTATCCTGCACTGGTGGCCGAGCTGCTGGCGAGGAAATGGACGGAGGAGGAGGTGAGGGGGGCCCTGGCTGAGAACCTGCTGCGGGTCTTCAGCAAAGTGGAGGAGGTGAGTGAGGCATGGGGAGGGCACGGGGCTGTACGGGGCCAGGGGACACTTGGGCCATGGGGACACCGGTGGCACTGGGAGCAATAGGAGTGGGGTCGTGTGGGGCAGCAGGACAGGGCAGGGGCACACGTGGGGCAGCAGACACGGGAATGTTTGGGGGTGGCACAGGGGGCACCGGGACATGGTGTGGGGTGTCACAGGGAAATGTGGGGTGGCATGTGCTTGGTGGGGACGGGCACTGCCCCTCACAGAGCCCACCCTGTCCCCCCGGCAGGTGAAGAGGACCCTGCAGGGCACAGCTGCCCAYGAGACCCCCATCGCCTTTGAGGAGCTGGAGGGGTCGTGCCGGACCAGCTATGGGTACCCCAACGGTGCGGGCAGTGCCCGGCCCCTGCCGGCAGCGCTGGCCCTGGCCCTGGCGCTCGCCCCGCTCCTCGCCCTGCTCTCCTAGCCCCCGGACCGTGCTCGGGGCTGCCGGGCCCCGCTCCATCCTGCGCCCCTTCCTGCCGAATCTGCCGGCAAAATAAAACCGCGGCTCGAGCAGCGCCGGCAGCGAGTGTCCGTGTGGGACCCTGCGGGACCCCCGCCCCAGCCTCCAGCGGGACATGCTGGGCCACCCCGGCGTGTCACCGGCCACCCCGGCGTGTCACCGGCCACCCCCGCGTGTCACCGGCCACCCCCGCGTGTCACCGGCGCGGCGGAGCAGCGGGGTCCCACCCCGCGACACCGGGGAGCTGTCACCGCGCCGGGAGTGACACATCCTGGCAACACCTGGCCAGGGCGGCTGCAGCGCTGCCTCCGCAGGATGCTTCCATTAATCATTAGCTAATTAATTGGCTATTTAATTATCTCCTTAGCAATTTCCTCTCACATTAGGAACAGCCTGTCTTCGGAGCGGAGGCGGGAGAACAGGCAGGAGAAGGGGAGCCATCTTCCTGTGGCTTTTGGGATTTGGCTGAGGCGCGGGGTTCGGCTGCCAGCCGGGGACGGGGACAGGGATGGGATGGGAGCAGGGAAGGGATGGGGACGGAGAAGGGGTGGGGACGGGGAAGGAACGGGGAGAGGGGAAGGAAAGGGGAGCGGGGAAGGGACGGGGACAGGGAAGGAATGGGGACGGAGAAGGAATGGGGACCGGGAAGGAATGGGGACCGGGAAGGAATGGGGACGGGGAAGGAACGGAAACAGGGACGGCTGCTCCCTCCTCCCTGCAGCCCCGTCCCCGGCAGTGGGGCTGCTGTGGGCAGCTGCTGATGGCAGTGCCACCTCGGCGCGGTGACAAACCCGGGCTCTCCCCTCGGGGGGCTCAGTTTGTCCCCACGAGGGCTGGGGAGCGGGGAAGGGAGCGGGGCTGACCCAGCCCCAGCCGGGAAGGGAGCCGGGTTCCAGCTGCTCCGAGCCCCTGCTCCCTCTGCTGTCCCCGKTTCGGCCACTCGCGAGGGACGGGTCCTTGCCGGGGGTGTCCTCGCCCTCCGGTCCCCCCGAGCCCGCAGAGCCTGCGRGAACAGGAGCAGCCCCTTCCTCCTCCTCCTCTCCTGTCCCAGGGCAGGGGACACGCTGAGACAACGGGGAGCAGAGACTCTCCATCCACACCCCCAACACACACTGGGGTGTTCAGAGATTGTTTATTTAAACTCACACAAGGGGATGGACACGGTTCGGGGAAAAAGAAGGCAAATAAGACGAGCTTTAAAAAAAAAACCACCAATGAAACCACAGAGACGCAGCCCGGGGAGAGGGCCGGGGGGCGGGTCTGGAGCCCCCAGTCCCACGGGGACACCGTGCAGGGGGACAGGAGCCAGGCACAAATCTCCAGGGTCCCCCAGCTTCCTGCCCGGCCCGTCGGGAGGTGGCACAGGATCCAGGGCTCTGCTGGAGACCAAAGCCTCCTCCTCCTCCTCCTCCTCCTCCTCCTCGGCGGGGAAGAAGGCTCCGTGTCACCAGCCACGCGCTCCAAGGCCACTGAACTCGGGAAAAATAATCAACGCGGCGGGAAGTGTTTGTGCCGGGGAGGCGCCCCCCGTGATATCCCCCAGAGGTTACAGTTCCTCCTGGAGACCCAGAGGAAACCGCTTCCTTCCTGAAGAGCTTCCAGCAACCCGGCAGCTCCGTGGGGTCGGGGATTGTGCAGGAGAGGCAAAAACACCTCCAGCTCCGGGGGAAGGTGACAAGGGACGAGCAGCGAGAGGGGACACGGGGAGCAGCCCCCGCCCCCAGCGCGGTGCCAGCAGCGAGGGGACCGAGGATATCCAGGGATGAGGCGCAGGGATGGACACGGAGCTGCTCCCGGGATGGTTTTGCATTCCCTGTCACACCCACCCGGCAGGGGGACATTTGGGGACGTGTCCGCAGCCACCASAGCCGCTGCAATCCGCTTCCAGCGCTGGACACGGCTCCTCACCGGTCCAAACTGGGCCGGGATAACCATTTCCAGCTGGCAGTGCCCGGGGGATGCGGGGATTGACACGCACAGGGCTGGGCAGGGGCGTTCCGAAGGGCACTTCGTGGTACGGGGCTGGGGGGAGGGACACGGAGCAGCCGAGGGCACAGTGACAGTGACAGCGAGGGAAGGGACACCCCCGTGTCACCGCCCCTTCCTGCAAGGCACCGACCTTCCCGCAGCGCTGCCGGAGCCTGGGAACCGCGAGAGTTCTCCTGCTCCTCCCAAACAGCTCCCGAGGAACTCARCCCCCAGCACAGCCCCGGGCAGGGGCGGGGAACAACACAGGAGGTGGGGAGCAGCATCCCGAGAGCAGGAAAATCCCCTTAGTGTTCCACAGCAGCGGGATGGGGGGCTCTGCCCGGCGCCAGCAGCAGCAGCACCCCCAAATGACGCCCCCACAATCCAGCAAAGCGTTCCTCGGGCAGAGAGGAGCCGCGTTCCTGCAGGGATTGCCGCCTGCTCGGGGAGGAGCTGTCCCCCCAGACAAGAGTCCCGAGGTTTTGGGGGGCTGGGGATGTGCTGCAGTGGAGAGGGAGAGCTGGGGCTGCGGGAGGGGATCCCAACCCACGGCTGCTCCACCGGCGCCGTCCACGGGAGAGCTCAGTTCCGCAGGGCAGCCAGCCTGGAGGGGAGAGCAGGGCAACAGTGAGGTCAGAGCTGCAGGAACAGGCACAGCTCAGCTGCAGCTGCAGCCAGGGAGCCTTCCCTAAATCCTGCCCCGGAGCCACAGCCCTGGCAGCTGACAGTGAAATCACTGTGGCAGGTGAGGTGTCACACAGAACGGTTTCCCAGCTCCTCTTTTTCTTGTGGTCCCTGTCCCTGGGCTGTTCTGGTCCCTCTCTCTGGGCCATCCCTACTCCTGGTCCCTGTCCCAGGCTGTCCCCATGCCACAGCCTCGGGGCTGTCCCCAGATGGACCCAGGGTGGCAGCATGGGAGCAGGGCAGCTCCTCGTGGGGCAGCTCCAGGCACCCCTGGCTGTGCTTGGGGCAGCTCCAGGTACCCCTGGCTGTGCTTGGGGCACCTCCTTGTGCACCCCAGCAGCTGCACAAGGACCAGAGTGGCACTGAGGGCCCATCCTGCCCCTGCCCAGTACCAAACCCACCCCCTCCCCAGCCCCAAAGTGGCCCCACAGCCTTGGGCACTTGCCCAAACAGATGAGCTCATCCCCCTGAGCCCCCAAGGAAGGGGCAGCTCTTTCCCTTCATGCCAGAGAGGGATCCTGGGAAGCTCTGGAGCATCCAGGGATTTGGAGAACACCAACCTCCGGGACAGCTGGTCCTCCTGGGAGCGGACTGAGCTCTCCCCCACGGCCGAGGCGCCCTCGGGGAGCTGGCTGAGCTGGTCCATGATCTCCARCCCGTTCTCCTCAGCAATCTGCACRATCAGGCTGTCCACCTGCTCCTGCGGCGTGCTCAGCGTGGTGGCCGAGCTCATGGAGTCCTCCATGACCTGGGACAGACACAGCCCTGTCACCCTGCCCAGCACAGACACCCAGCAGAGCTCCCCMTCCCTCTCCTGCCAGGCACTCACCGACGTGTGAACATCCAAATTCTGCACTTGCTGCTCGAATTTATCCATCACTGCTGACACCTTCTGCAGGTCCATGGAGTTCAGGGCTTTATCCAGGGCCTTGGTCACCTGTGCCATGTTTTTCGTCACCTGCAAGAGGAGATTGCAAGATTCAGGGATGCTCTGAGGGTCATGGATGAATCTGAGCCCCACTGTGAGGCCATCATGGATCGGATGAACCCATCTGAGACCACCAGGAACCTTGGTGGGGTCATTTTGGGGGACAGGGGAGCCTGTGRAGGATGGAGGCAGCAAGAGGGGAAGCTCCATGYGGGGAGGGAGCTCTCAGATCCCCCMARAGGCTCTTACCCCCTTCATGGTGACGGCTGTCTGCACCTTGGAGGCCACAGCATCCACCCGTGAYGCCATCCTCAGCCAGTTGAGCCCCTCGTTCTTCTTGCGGATGGCATTCTCGGCATAAACCCGGGCACATTCCACGTTCTTCTGCTGCAGGGCCTGGGACACGGGGAATCCACGCTCAGAGAGCCACCCCGGGCTCAAACCAGCTCCTGCTGCATGGTTCCTCAGCAGGAAACATCTCTGCCGTGAGCCCACAGCTGGGAGTGCCCCAGAGCAGGAATTAAACCGTGTTTGTGTCAGCGGATTCGCCACACCCCCCTGGTGGATCGAGGAGTGGAGGGTGGGGAGGGGATCTGCCCCTTTCCTGCTCCCACAGGGCAGGGGARGGGAGTTCCTGAGCACAGCAGGAGGTGCCCCCACGCACCTTTTTGACTTTGGCTTGCTCAGCCTTGGAGTCCTTCTCGGCTTTCTTGGAGAGCTTTTCCAGCTGCTTCGCTGTGAACTGCGGAGAAGAGCAGGGGTAGCACCAGGACAGAGTCAGGGACACCTCCCACTGTCCCCAGGCTGCTTCAATCACCGTCCAACCTGGCCTTGGGCACTGCCAGGGATGCAGGGGCACCCACAGCTTCTCGAACACCCCGTGCCAGGGCTCCCCACCCTCACAGAGGATTCTTCCCCAATCTCTCCCATCTCACGCCGCCCTCTGGCAGTGAGAAGCCATTTCTCTTTGTGCCCACCTGTCCCACCCCCGCCACATCCCACCGGCCCCGGCAGCCCGACCCTGTGCCCGCGGCAGCCCCGATCRCCCCCGCAGGCCGGGGCCCGCTCCCGTGCCGGTCCCGCCGAAAGAGCCCCGGTGAGGCCGAGCAAGCGGGTGGAACCAGCCCGGAACAATCCCGGGACGGCCGAAACGATACGGAGAGGAGGGGGAAGAGCCTCCGCTGCCCTCACCTTCAGCTGGAAGAGCGTGTCTGGAAAGGAAGGAGAGCAAATCTCAGCGACACGATCGGCACCGGAGACCGGGACTAGGAAACCGGGGACCCCGCCCACGCGTCCCGGCCACCGGTCCCGGCTGCGATCCCCCCAGCCCCGCCCCTCGGGAGCCGCCCCAGCCCCAGCGGGAGGTCCCGGTAGCGCCCAACCCCCGGTACCGTCCATCCTGCCCGCCGCCGCTTCCGGGTTCTGCCGCCGCTTCCGGGTCCCGCCGCCGCCGCTTCCGGGGTGCGCGCGCTGAGTCTCGCGAGAGCGACGCCGCGATCGGCGGGGAGACCTCGGGGGTGGTCGGACGGGAGGGGGCGGGGCCACAAGGGGTACGGAACCAATCGGAGGCGGGGCTGTACCAGAACGGGATCGCTATTGGTCCGTCCCTAGCAACCGTTGCTAGGGGGTTAATGCGTGTGGGCGGAGCCTGCGGGCGGATAAGAGTGCGCGTGTGCAGGGCGGGATCCGCTGTGGCGGCCATGGCATCGGCTGAGGCGGGAGCGGCTGAGGGGGCACCGGGATCGGCATCGGCACCGGGATCGGCACCGGCATCGGCACCGGCACCCGCCGAACCAGAGCTGGAGCCCCTGCGGCTGCGGCGCTTGCGAGGCGACGGCTTCTTCGAGGTGCCGGCAGCCGAGCGGGTGAGTGCAGCGGGTCCCCGGCGGTGTGAGGGGGATTTGGGGCCGGCGGGGGCTGCTCGGTGAGGGGCCCTGGAATCGGCACCGCCTGGACGCGGCTCTTTGGTTTCAGCTGGGMCGGTGCCGCAGCGTGAAGGAGTTTGAGAAGCTGAATCGGATCGGAGAGGGCACGTACGGCATCGTGTGTGAGTGCGGGCAGTGCTCCCCGGCTGGGAGCGGCTCCCGGKGCGCTGCGGCCATGCGGGACCGGGAAGAGACCTCAAAGTTAATATTGWTCCACCCCCTGCCATGTGCAGGGACACTTTCCACTGTCCCACGCTGTTCCAAGCCCCGTCCAACTTGGTCTTGGACACTTCCAGGAATTCAGGAGCAGCCACAGTTGCTCTGGGCACCCTGTGCCAGGGCCCTCACAGGTCCACCCTCACAGCCAAGAATTCCTTCCCAAAATCCCATCTAACCCTGCCCTCTGGCAGTGGGAAGCCGTTCCCCCCTGTAGAATCCCAGCATGGTTTGTGTCGGGCGGGACCTTAAGCTCACTCAGTTCCACCCCCGTGGTTGGGCTGGAGAGGCTCAGGCAGGGTCTGGACAAACCCTGGTGTGTCCTGGTGGTAACGTGGCTTGTGCTGCCCACAGACCGTGCCCGGGACACGCTGACAGATGAGACAGTGGCGCTGAAGAAAGTGCGGATGGACAACGAGAARGATGGTAATGCAGGAGGGATGGGGGAACAGCAGCTGCCCCAGCCCTGGCCCGGCTCTGAGCTGTTCCTGCAGCACTGCTGTACCTYCCTCCCCCAGGAATGCCCATCAGCAGCCTGCGGGAAATCACCCTGCTCCTGCAGCTGCAGCACCCCAACATTGTGGAGCTGAAAGAGGTGGTTGTGGGGAACCACCTGGAGAGGTAAGAGTCCCCTCTCTGTCCTCCCTCTGCCTTCCCGACCTTACTTGGAGCCCTGAGCAGGCAAACCTGTCCTGGGGGAGGCTCTGACTATGTCTCATCTCCAACAGTATTTTCCTGGTGATGGGATACTGTGAGCAGGATCTGGCCAGTCTCCTGGAGAACATGCAGACRCCCTTCTCAGAGGCTCAGGTATGGGGTGGGGCAGGATTTGGGTCCAGAACCCCTGAGAGGGTGCTGCTATTCCTACCAAAACATGGGTGCTGTGAGGGGCTCTCAGATCTTGAGCTGGGGGATTGCTGGTATTCTGATGGAGCCTGGGCTTTGCTGACTCTCTGAACCCTCCAGCGAATTTCCAGGCTGGGTTTGGGGCAGGAGCAAATTGTCAGGGAGAGAGCTGGGAGGGCACAGGGATGGAGGGACTGCAGGACACCCCTGTGGGTTTGGCCTCCAGGGATTTGCAGGGTCCTGCAGAGGTCACAGATCCCATCCTCTGTCCCCAGGTCAAGTGCATCATCCTGCAGGTGCTCAAGGGTCTGCAGTACCTCCAYGAGAACTACATCATCCACAGGTGGGAGTGGCTGGATGGTGCTGGGGGAACAAGGGGGTGTCTGTGGAAATCTCCTGTGTCCCAGGAGCATCTCTGGGTGGGGATTTGGGGCTCAGCTGCGTGTGAGCACTGACAGGACAGGAAGGCTGTGGAATGATGGGATTGGCTTCTCCCTGTGGTCACTCACGTCCAGCTGCTCCTTTCCCACAGGGACCTGAAGGTCTCCAACCTGCTGATGACTGACAAAGGCTGTGTGAAGATAGGTGAGTCCTGGCACCTGCTCTGTGCCAGGCTCCAGCCACCCTGTGCTGTGACCAGAGCTCAGAGCTGGGCCCCTCCTGACYGTGACTCTCTCCTGCAGCTGATTTCGGCCTGGCACGCACCTATGGGATGCCCCCCAAGCCCATGACCCCAAAAGTGGTGACTCTGTGGTGAGTGGCTGGTGCTGGGGCAGGCCCTCCCAGCAGGATGGGCTCGTGCTGGCTCTGCCACTGAGTGTCCTTTCACAGGTACCGGGCACCGGAGCTGCTGCTGGGGATGACAACGCAGAGCACCAGCATTGACATGTGGTGAGTGCGGGGCTGAGGYTGCCCGAGGGGGGCTGGAGGGCTGCAAACTGCAGGGCATCACTGGGGAGGCTCTTCCTGTGCTCTGCAGGGCTGCTGGCTGTATCCTGGCCGAGCTGCTGGCACACAAACCACTGCTGCCRGGCACCTCTGAGATCCACCAGATCGACCTCATTGTTCAGCTGCTGGGGACTCCCAACGAGAACATCTGGCCGGTGAGAGCTCCCACCCATTTACCCGTTAGTCCCTGGCTGTTCCCCTGGCCCCTCCTCACGTTCTGTTCCCCCCAGGGGTTCTCCAAGCTGCCCCTGGCCACGCAGTACACCCTGCGCAAACARCCCTACAACAACCTGAAGCACAGGTTCCCCTGGCTCTCAGAGGCCGGGCTGCGACTGCTCAACTTCCTCTTCATGTATGATCCCAAGAAAAGGTACGAGCCAGGTGCACTGCGGGGTGGGCACRGCAGGGAAACTGCCCCACACTGTGCCCCAGGCAGGGGTGGTTCCTGCCAYGTGCTGTTGTCCCCACAGGGCTACGGCCAAGGACTGTCTGGAGAGTTCCTACTTCAAGGAGAAGCCCTTGCGTAAGTACCCCATATCCTGGGGCAGGGCAGGACTGGGGAGGCTTTGGGCCCTGCTGACCCCTCTGTCCCCCACAGCCTGTGAGCCMGAGCTCATGCCCACCTTCCCACACCACCGGAACAAGCGGGCGGCCGGTGCAGGGCTGGAGAGCCAGGCCAAGCGCAGCAAGCCCTGAGCTGGCCACGGGACCCGGCACGATGCGTCCTGGCCGAGGTGGATTCTCTCGGCCCAACAGTCCCAGCGCCGTGGGCTCCATCCAGTCCCGGGACAGCCTCTGAATCCACCTCCCCGTGCAGCACGGGGCAGGCTCTAGGCTGGGGCTGGGTGAGCACGGCCCTGGGGCCAGAAGAGAGGAGAGATGGGGCCTGGGGAGGCCCAGGCTCGGCAGGGTCAGTCCTGTCCCATGGGGGTCCTGGCTTGTGCTGTCTGTGAGGGGAAACCCCGATTTTGCCATGAATAAAAGCATCTGGCAGTTGCAACAGTGGGATTGAGCTCATCCTTTAGGGCCAACAGGGTTGGGGGAAGCTTGGCTATGTCATATTCCTCCCTGGGGACAAAGATACYTCTGCAACACCCCAAGTTCTTCCCCTCCTTCAATGTATCCGGTGCCACTCTCATGGGAGGCACATTTCACCGCAGGCCCTGCCCCTGAGCAGGGGTCCTGCTCCCTCCCACCAGGATAGGACAGGCCCTGCTGAGACAGCTACTTTACTGATGCACAGAATAATTTACAGCAGGAGTGTCAGGGCTGGAGCAGTGCCCATCCTCCCGGAACGCAGCCCAGGCACTGCCATGCAGGGTGCTGATGAGTCCAGTGTCCTTGTGCCAAGCCGTGGCTGTGCCCAGCCCTGTCAGGAGCGGGGTGCAGAGCCCTCAGCCAGCAGCATGTCCAGCTCGGTGCGCTGCAGCCACAGGCGCTGCTGTCGCTCCCCACGCAGCTCCTGGCCGCGGTGGCGGCTGCGGCAGGCACGGCCCACGGCACAGCCCCCGGAGTGCAGCTGCCTGCAGGTGCTGCAGCAGTAYGAGGGCAGCATGCCCTGGCACAGGCACGAGTGCAGCTGGTAGCAGGGCAGCTCTGGGGTGTCCTGAGAGGAATCCTGGGGCACCTGGGGGCTTCTGCCAGCCCCYACCAGCTCCTGCTTTGGGAAGAGGTGAGAGGAGGTGTCCAGGTCAGCACTGCCCACAGGCTCCGGCCCAAAAGYGCCCTCACAGTGTCCCCAGCTCCTCGTGGGCACATCCTGAAGGTCCCTCAGTGCTGGGGGGGCTGTGTCCTCACCCCCCGTGTCCTCGGGGCTGTCYGGTATCTCCCGGTAGAGATCGACGCTGTCACYRCTGTCAGCAGTGGCCCTGCACTGCRTCCCCSGGTCCTGMAGCATCTCCAGGCCACTCTCGCCATCCCTGGCCCGATGCCGCACCTCCAGCAGCTCCTGGGCGTGGGGCCGGCACGGCTGCAGCTGCAGGATCTCACACTCCAGCCGGCAGGCGAGGAACCCGACAGCGGCGGCGATCAGCGCGGGCCCTGGAGGTGGCCGGGCCACAGTCAGGCGATGCTGGTCCTGCTGCTCGTAGCCCAGTCGGCCCAAACTCCGCAGCAGGTCGGCTTCGGGGAGCGCCGGGCGCAGCAGGTGCACGTAGGCACCGGAGAAGGTCTGTAAGGAGAGCGGGAGGCAYGGCTGGAGGTGTCTGGGTACCCCCACAGCATCCCTGTGCCACCTCAGGGCCTCACCTGGATGGTTCTGAACTCCCGGCGCCACGGGAAGAGGTAGAGGTTGACGGCCGCCAGCTCCAGCAGCCGGAAAGCAGCGGCCAGGCCCCGCAGCGCCAGCCCRGGCTCAGGGTGGTCCCGCAGCCCCCGGGCCAGCAGTGCCGGGCCATCCTCCTGCAGGGCTCCCAGCAGCGCTGGCTCCTGCTGCAGCCGCTGCCGGAGCCGCTCCGCCACGGCGGGGTCGGGGCAGGTCCCGGTGGAGCCAAAACCCCGCTCCAGCGAGCGGCGGTACTSCTGGTGGAATTCCTGCCGGAGCTGCTGCCCGTATTCGTGCCGGTGCTCCTGCCGCAGCGCCGAGCCTGCACACATCCTGGGGACAGCAGCGTGAGACCCCACCCCGGTGCAGGGACCATGACACCCTCCCCATCCCGGCACCCCCGACACCTCCAACCCTTGCATCCCTTTGGGTGTCCCCTCCAAAGTCTCAGCGCCAGCACCTCCCTGGTCCAGGTGTCCCCAGTGTCACCCCTCGGCCGCGGTTCCCTCCGTCCCGGCCCCCCCGGARGCCTCCCGGTGTTCCTCCCCGACCCCGGTTCCGCCCCGATCCCGGTTCCCCCTCCTCAGCCGCGGTTCGCCCCGTCCCCCGGGGTTGTCCCTCCTCGATCCAGATCCCCCCGGTCCCTGTCTCGGTCCCGGTCCCGGTCCGTTCCCCACCTGCCGCCCCGTTCGCTCCCGCTCTCTTCCCGTTCCCCTCCGCGCCCACCGGGCCGAACGCACGTGCCGCCCGCCGCTCCGCCCCCCCCGCGACAGCGCCCCCTGCGGGCCGGGAGGACCGGGCGGGGTCAGCACCTGCCCGGGGTGGGGGGTCCCTCGCCGCCCCCTCCTCACTGCAGCGACTCCACGTAGGACAGGGCGCTCTGCAGGGACGTCAGGCAGTACCCCTCCTCCCCAATCAGGTACCTGAACACACCCATCGCACTGTCACCAACGGGACACCACCACGGGCACCACACCGCCACCGCGSCATCATGGCTGGGACACCACCATGGTCATCGCCACCATGCCATCACGGCCAGGACACTGCCACTGCCACCACAATGTCACGGCTGGGACATCCCTGCGGCCACCACCGTGCCATCACAGCCAGGACACTGCCACTGCCATCACAATGTCACGGCTGGGACATCCCTGCGGCCACCACCATGCCATCACAGCCAGGACACCACCACAGCTGGGACACCGTTATGGTTGGGACACCACGCCAGTCACTGCACTGTCACAGCTGTGACACTGCCATGCCCAGGACACCACCACAGCCCCATGCTTCCAGGAACCATTGCTCCCGCCCATATCCTGCCCTGATAATCCTGTCTCAGGAAGGTGACAGTGTCCTGAACCCAGCCTGCATGGCCCGGTACTCCCGCACATACCCCTCATGGATGAACTCCTCCAGGGCGGCACACTCGGAGAGCAGCTGGGGCAGCCCYGTCTGCAGCACCACGTAGGACAGGATGGGCAGCAGGTCATCTGCCCCGCTGTGACAACAGGGACCATCAGCCACAGTGCCACACCRGCCCCACCCTCCCCGTGCGCCATGGTCCCTGTACTCACATGGCAGCGGTGGCAGCGCTCCGGGCGTCCCGGGTGCCGCAGTACTCCTCGGCACACTCGCAGATGCCGCGCAGGGCTCGCACTGTGGCACACACAGGGCTGCCATTAGAACCACTGCCACCCCCCTGGACCCCGCCCCGCGTCCCCGCCACCCCTCACCGATGCACTCCAGCTTCCTGCGGGGACAGGTCTCCAGCGGGATGAGGCGCAGGTCCTGCACGGCCGAGGCGTACGCGGGGCGGCCGGGGGCGGGCGGGAAGAGGCGCGAGGCCAGCCCCATGTCGGCGGGGCTGGCATGCCGGTGTCGCTCCATGCTGCGCGCCAGGGCTGCCTCACGGGGCTGCTGCACGCTCCTGTGGGCACTGAGGTGAGGGAGGGGTGCCAGGGAGGGGGCAGAGGGGCTCCAAAGCGGATCACGGTACCTGTAGAGCGCCAGGAGCGGGGCCCAGAGCGGGGGAAAGAAGGCTTCCTCCAGGCAGGCCAGGCACTGGTCCTTGCCCGCGGCAGTGCCGAGCCCCTCRAAGGCCAGCAGAGTCAGGGCCAGCAGCCGGTCTGGGAAGGACGAGTCACGATGGAACCTCCAGTCCTGCCCGGGCTGGGACGCCCTGTCCTGCCCATTCTGTGCCCGGATCAAAACAGGGTGCAGGAGAGCCCATGGACAGCCCCCATCTACCCCCTGTCCATCCCCGCTCCCACGGCCATCCCTCACCGATGGCGTTGTGGATGTCCCTCACGATGCTCTTCAGCAGCTCCGGCAGGGTCATGTCCTGCCCAGGGCCGGTCGGTGGCTCTGCAGGGGCCCAGCCCTCGGGGGACGCCAGGAACCGCTCCAGGTCCTCGAAGGAGCTTTCCCGGGGGGTYTGGGGGGTCTCCGTGGGCCCYGGGGYGCCGCTGYCAKYGAGGGGGGTGCTGGAGCGGCTGTGGCGCAGCRCGGCCGGGCCGTGCTCGGGCACCGAGAACATGCAGTGCAGGCTGCGGGACGCTCGGAGCCGGCGGCCCCCGGGCTCTGCGGGCAGCGAGGAAGCGCCCGCGTCCAGCGACAGGAACGAGAGCCCCGAGGGGGACGCGGGGGAGGCGTCGGCGGGGCCGCGGCTGACGGCGGGGTAGAGCCGGGCGTACACCGCACACTGCAGCCGCCGCAGCAGCTGMGTGATGGGGTGCTCGGGGCAGCTGTGGGCACACGGACAGCGTGGGCAGGGGGCTCTGGTGGCAGCCCCCGCGCTCTGGCAGGGCTGTGCCCACCCCAGCRGTACCTGAGGAGGCAGGAGAAGAGCCCTGAGAGCACCGAGAGATCCGCTGGGCTCCGCTTCAGCTGCGCCTTCCACTGCCTCGGCCAGTCCTGGGGAGCGTCCAGGGTTGGTCATGGGGAGGGTGCAGTGCCCTGCCCCACGGCACAGCTTCCACCCCATGGCACAGCCTCCAGCCTCATGGCACAGCCTCCACCCCACGGCACAGCCTCCACCCCACGGCACAGCCTCCACCCCATGGCACAGCCTCCACCCCACGGCACAGCCTCCACCCCATGGCACAGCCTCCACCCCACGGCACAGAGTCCACCCCATGGCACAGCTTCCTGCCCCACAGCACAGCCTTCACCCCATGGCACAGCCTCCACCCCATGGCACAGCCTCCACCCCACGGCACAGCCTCCTACCCCATGGCACAGCCTCCACCCCATGGCAGAGTCCAGCCCCATGGCACAGCCTTCACCCCACAGCAGAGCCCAGCCCTGCCAGCAGCCCCTGGGCACACACTCACATGGTCCTGCTCATACTCGAGGATGGCAGCGTAGAGCGCTCGTTGTTCCTGCTCCTCGGGGGTGAGTGCCACGCTGTTGGAGAATCTCCTGGGGACGCCCTGGGCTGGTGAGGGCACTGCTGGGTGTCCCCACAGCCCAGGGGCCCTGTGGTCACGTCTCCACTCACCGGTTGGCTGCCTCCTGCAGCCGCAGCCGCCGCTCCTCCATCTTGCGCTGCAGCTGGGCCGGGCACAGTTAAGGGTCCAGAGCCACAGCCACACTCACCCTACACCCTTTGCCTTCCCCCATCCCCCCAGGCAGGATCCCAAATGCCTTGGAGGGTCAGTGACACCCAGCCCAGGGCACAGGCTCCTGGAGCAATCCCATCGGGAAGGATACAGTCTCCTCCCGAGCCTTGGCGATCACCAGGTTCTCCATCATCTGCCGCTGCAGGGAGAGCGTCTGCGGAGCAGGAGGAGCRTTGGGAACACCCACCCACACCCCACRGCCAYCATCGGGGAGCAGGGRTCCCCACAGACCCTCTCCCTGCCTGGCTGCCAGCTCCATCCAGCCCCAGCCCCTCCGCAGCCCCCACTTGCCAGGGATGTTTTCTGCAGGGCCTGGCTGGGGTTCAGCCGCGCCACCCGCGCCTCGTACGCCGCCTTCAGCTTCTGGTTCTGCAGGGACGCCTCCTCCAGCGGGGTCAGCTCCCTGCAGGAGCAGCCTCAGCACCCACCGCAGGGCACAGGACACGTGCCAGGGCCCCATCCCACCCCACAGCCCCCCAGGCAGCCGTGGGGCCACCAGCAGTCCTTGTGTCCCACTTCTTGCCAGACTCTGTGTCCCAAAACCCCTACGTTTGAACCCTCCATGTCCCAACCCCCATGTCTGAGCCTCCCATGTCCCAACCCTTTGTCCCAGTCCACACCGGCTCCCTATGCACCACCACTCTGTGCCCCAGCCCTATGTCCGAGTCCCCATATCCCAGCTCCCATATTCCAATCCCCATATCCCAGCTCCCATATTCCAATCCCCATATCCCAGTCCCCATTTCACAGACCCCATATCCCAGTCCCCATATCCCAGTTCCCACATTCCAATCCCCATATCCCAGCTCCCTTATCCCAGCCCCCATATTCCAATCCCCATATCCCAGTCCCTATATCCCAGTCCCCATATCCCAGTCCCCATATCCCAGCCCCCATATCCCAGCTCCCATATCCCAGCTCCCATATCCCAGTCCCCATATCCCAGTCCCCATATCCAAGACCCCCGTACTTCCGTGAGCTCTGTGCCTCGGTGATCTGCAGTTTCTGGAAGATCTCCGGGGGCAGGAAGGGCGAGAGCTTCCCCCCCTCGTCCGAGCAGACCCGGCGGTGTCTGGGGGGCGGCACAGGGGTCCCACCCCGCTCCTGCACCGCCGGTTTCACCTGGGCTTTTCCTGGGAAAGGGGGCAGGACAGGTCGGTTGTGCCCCACCAGCAGCTCCCCAAAATGGGAACCCCACACTCACCCAGCGCCGCTGCAATGGATTTGACCCTCTCCAGGCACTGCTCCGCCAGCTTCAGCAGCTTCGGGGTGTCAGGGGTGACCCCCTCGCTGCTCTCTGTGGGGAGCGAATGTTGGGGTGGCCACAGGGCTCCCACCGCCCCCCGGCTGGGCCGGGTGGTGCCGGGGGTGGGTGATGCTCTACCTGTCCCCGCCGCCTCCTCCTGCAGGGTCTGCGCGATCAGGGAGATGCTCCGCAGGTACTCCATGTAGGCGTCCTGCAGAACGGGGGAGCGGGGACACACCGGGGACACACCAGGGGTGAGCGGGGACACACCGGGGGTGAGCGGGGACACACCGGGGGTGAGCGGGGGCACACCGGGGGTGAGAGGGGGCGCACCGGGGACCCCCACGGCCTCGGGAGGATGCGGGGTCCGAACGGGCGGCGGGGGGCAGGGAGAGGCCGGGGGCGCTGGGTCACACCGGGGATGCAGCCCCGGGAGCACGGGGTGACTCCGGGCATGCGGGAGAGCCCCGGGATGCGCGATGGGAGCGGGGGTGCAGCCCCGCGGGCGGGGGCGAGGCCGGGGATGGATGCGGAGGATGCGGGGAGAGCCCGGCGATGCCGAAGGGGCCCGGGGATACGGGAGGAGCCGGGGATGGAGCCCCGGGGGTGGGGGTCGAGCCCGGGGGTGCAGCCCCGGGGATGCGGCTGAGCCCGGGGGTCCCTCCCCGCCGTCCCCGCGCTCACCCTTGTCCGGCCGGCGCTGTCCATGCCCAGGGCGCCGCTCGCCGCCCTCATGGCTCCCTGCAGCCCGCGGCCCCCCCGGCCCGGCGCGGGCCCCTCG